TAATCGAACTCGAATTAGTCCAATTGAGATCCAATTAGTACAATCTCGGGCAATTATATTGTAATCGAACTCGAATTGGTCCAATTGAAGTCAAATTAATACAATTGAGGTTAATTATAGTGTAATCGAACTCGAATTAGTACAATTGCGGTCCAATTAGTACAACCTCGGACAATTATATTGTAATCGAACTCGAATTAGTCCAATTGAGGTCAAATTAGTACAATTGAAGTCAAATTAGTACATTCTTGGCCAATTATAGTGTAATTGAAGTCAAATTAGTACATTCTCGGTCAATTATAGTGTCATCGAAGTCAAATTCGTACAATTAAAGTCAAATTCGTACAATCAAAGTCAAATTCGTACACTTTAAGTGAAATTCGTACAATTGAAGTCAAAGTCTATTGTAACATATAACATCTATTGTTATAACATATATGTTATAACATATGTTATATTTAGTTATAACATATAATACAATATATAGTATAGGATATAATATATAATATAATACATAGTATATAATATAACATATGATATAATATAACATATGATATAATATAACATATGTTATAATATATATATATAATATAGGATATAATATATAATATAATATATAGTATACAATATAATATATAGTATATGATAATATAACATATATAGTTATAATATAACATACAATATAATATATAGTATAGGATATAATATATAATATAATACATAGTATATAATATAACATATGATATAATATAACATATGTTATAATATATAATATATAATATAGGATATAATATATAATATAATATATAGTATACAATATAATATATAGTATAGGATATAATATATAATATAATATATATAGTATACAAAAATCTGATATATAGTATAATATAACATACAATATAATATATAATATAATAAATTGTATAATTCGATATAAAAATCTGAAAAAAATCACGTTTTCTTCCGGAAATTTACTATAACGATTGTACAATCGTTTTTTATTGAAAAAACGATTATACAATCGTTATAGTAGTTTTCCGAACAATTCCACCTTAAACGAGACCTCAATCGTCAAAATAACACACTATAAAGATATTAAGCTCGTATTCGGTGTAATTTTAGGCATTTTTATGTAAAATAAAAAATCTAAAAAGATTTAAAATTATATTACAATTTTTTTTAAAAAAAAATATTAAGTGTTGTTTATTTTGAAAAAAGAGTTACATTGTGATTGTTTGGACTCTCCAACAATTTTAAATATCGTTCAAATGACACGAATCATGAATATGAATGCCTTATCAAGTAATTCGATATAAAAATCTGAAAAAAATTGCGTTTTCTTCCGGAAAATTACTATAACGATTGTACAATCATTTTTCAATAAAAAACGATTGTACAATCGTTATAGTAGTTTTCCGAACAATTCCACCTTAAACGAGACCTCAATCGTCAAAATAACACACTATAAAGATATTAAGCTCGTTATCGGTGTAATTTTAGGCATTTATATGTAAAATAAAGAATCTAAAAAGATTTAAAATTATATTACATTTTTTTAAAAAAAAAATATTAAGTGTTGTTTATTTTGAAAAAAGAGTTACATTGTGATTGTTTGGACTCTCCAACAATTTTAAACTATCGTTCAAACTTGTCAAATTAGTCAATCAAGTAACACACTATAAAGATATTAAGCTCCTTAGTCGGTGTAATTTTATGCAATTTTTATGTAAAATAAAGAATCTAAAAAGATTTAACATGATATTTATACTTTTTTTTAAAAAAAATATTAGCAAGTGTTGGTGTTTTAAAAAAAGAGTTACATTTTGAGTGTTTGGACGCTCCAACAATTTCAAACTATCGTTCCAATGACACGAATCATGAGTATACGTGCCTTATGAAGTAATTCGATAGAAAAATCAGAAAAAATCGCGTTTCATCCCGAAAAATTACTACAACGATTGTATAATTGTTTTTTCAATAAAAACAATTATACAATCGTTATAATAGTTTTCCGAACAATTCCACCTTAAACGAGACCTCAATCGTCAAAATAACACACTATAAAGATATTAAGCTCGTTATCGGTGTAATTTTAGCCATTTTTATGTAAACTACATTCGTTATATGAATCGAGACACCATAACTCGAGTTCATGCATTATAATGGATCGTATATCGAAGGTTTAGGTGTATTTAATCAACCGCGATAAAAAAATCGAAAATGAGGGTACATTCGTAGTGATTTTCAAAATAACGAATGTACATTCGTTATGTAGTACATAATAACGAATGTACATTCGTTATGGTTATTTTTGGACAAAAAAACACCCGAAACGACTCTATCTTCGTTATACAATAAATTATTAGAAAATTACTCTCGTTATGGGTATAGTTTTAGTATTTTATAAGTTCGTATAACGAAAATTCATTATCGAAATTAATTTCCAAAAATAAAATCAAGTATTGTTATTTCAAAAAACTACATTCGTTATATGAATCGGGACACCATAACTCGAGTTCATTTATTATAATGGATCGTATATCGAAGGTTTAGGTGTATTTAACTGACCACGATAAAAAAAAAGAAGATAAAACGAGGGTATATTCGTAGTGATATTCAAAATAACGAATGTACATTCGTTATGATATTACATAACGACTGTACATTCGTTATGTGCAATCAAATGCAACATTATCCAAATAAATAAAAAAAAAAAAAAAAGGCATAAAAAACATAAAAAATATGAAATCTACATGCTTATCAATCATCAAATATGAAACCAAAATACTTATCAAAATTAAATAACATAAAATCCTAGCAACAACAAATTTTTCTTTCACCTTTCTCTAAATAAAAAGAGATAAATTTTCTTCCACTATAAACACATTTGTTTGCAATATAGAATTCAAACTTTATGTGTAGGATGAAAGTTAGTTTTCTTCCCAACCATTCCCACCCTCTTGGGCTCTCTGTTCTCTTCCCGTTTCTGTTCGTTTTTTTTTTTTTTTCTTTTTTTTCTTTTTTACAAAATCTGGTTACATAATTGAAAGAAGGCTATTTTAGGTATTTCACTTACTTATTTATATTTATTTCTTGAATGGGGTTATTTAAACAAAAAAAGTGTTGAAAGGGTCATTTAAATAAAATGACCCTTTGACTATCCCTTTTAAATAAAGGCCCCCTCAACTCCCAATCTATCCACAAACATGTACTGATGATGTACATGACACTGCAAAAGCAACTTCTTTTCATTTTCGTTTAGCTTGTGTTTGTCCTTGCAATGGAAGGATAAGCAGAAAGAGCCTCTACCAATGACAGTGACTGGGAAATGAATTCCACCCAGTTCACTAATACCTCGACTCCCGCAAGTATCACTTCTCTCACTAAAATGGCTGTGCAGAATTCCTCGCATCGGGTAGATATTCCTTTTCCTTTTCAGGCATGCACAAAACTCAATCTTTATATCCCCATTTACATTTAATTTATCCTTTTTTTCTCACATGGTTGAATGTCACCCGTTTCTCTTTTTATTATGTTATTGAGTCATTGAAGGTACTGCCCTATGAAGTCTTTAGCATTAAGGACGAGCAAATGTCTCTTTTTCTCTTTGTTTTTGGCAAATAAAAAGTTGTCGGATTGTATTGGATAAAAAGCTTATAACTAACATAAAGTCTCGAGTCCTGATGGGCACCTGGTATTTCATGGATTTCAGTTGTATATGTTTACAGTAAAGCTACATCTTTTTATGAATCATCTCTTCCAGCAGTAAGAGCATGTCTTTTTAGTGTTTGACAAATTGCTTCTTCTAATTCATATGTCGACATGTGTACAGTTGATGTTGTGATTATGGTTGGAAAAACTAACATGGCTTTTCTAACTTGCGCAGGCTTTGACGTTGAAAAGTTGCTCGTCTCTGAGGAACACTACAGCCGTCAGCTTATTACGATTAAGAAAAAGCTCCTCAGCAAGAGTCTTGTCTCTATTGCAAGCAACTTGCTATTCCACTTGCTCCGGTATAGAATATTGCTCCTCTTCAAAACGGAGATCGCGTGGGCCCGTCATGGCTGGAAAGGGAAAATCTGAAGGTTTATCAAGAATCTTAAATCATGACACTATTACAATTGAAACTAATATAATTTTGTATGTACTCAGCTTATTTATATCTACAATTCATGAATATACTTATTGTTGTTCAGGGGAGAAACAAGAAGATGGTAAGTATAAGAACACAATTGATCTCCCAAAGACTGCCTTTGGCTTAAGAGCCAATTCTGTTGTGAGGGAGCCTGAAATACAACGACTATGGGATGAAAATCAGGTGTTCAAGAGGGTTGCCAGAAAAAATACAGGGGTAGCTTATCTAGTGGCCTTCTTTCGTGGATCTATATGTTGGTTTTCCATCTTTCATAAGTGAATTCTATGTGATGCTAGATCATTTTGACAGGGCAGTTTTGTGATTCATGATGGCCCTCCTTATGCGAATGGCGATTTACATATGGGTCATGCCATGAATAAGATTTTGAAGGATATTATCAATCGATATAAGGTGATTCTGGAACCATATTTTGTATATGGTTTATTTAGACTTTATATTATTTTCACGAAAGAGAGTGTTCTGTAAATCTCACTTGTGAGTTTTGCCACTTCAGTTTCCATAAATACCACATTATATGATGTTGCTTATGAGGGCGTGTTTATTTGTGCGTTCTTATCTTGGATGCAGATCTTCAAAATTGCACTTTAATATGATGTAGTGAAATCGAAGTCCAATGCTGATCTTTTCTAAAAAAAACCCTTAACTTTTCTATATTTTAACACTTCGACTATATTTATCTCAGCTTCTTCAGAACTTCCAAGTTCATTATGTGCCCGGGTGGGATTGTCATGGCTTGCCAATTGAATTGAAAGGCAAGTGTTAGCACTATTCATAGATTGTTAAATCCTTGAAATATTTTCTGGATGATTCTTCTTAATTTGTTGACAGTGGAAAGTTCTCTTTTATTCAGTTTTATGGTGGCATACTTAAAGTTATAGTACAAATTTATCACCTTGAATATTTTAATAGTACAAATTGCAAGCCGTAACTCAGGAACTAAGTAATGGTAATCTTGGTATGGGGTGTAGTTGGTTTGAATAAGGCTTATCTAGATTTTTGTTATTAAGGTGATTCTGCCTAATTTCTCACAAACTTCTCGATTAGTGTGTAACTGCAAATAAAAGTAATGTAACCATTGTGGTGTATCACAGATCTTGTTGTTTTGTTTCAGTTTTGCAGTCACTAGACCAGGATGCTAGAAAGGAGCTAACACCCCTAAAATTGAGAGCAAAAGCAGCCAAATTTGCGAAATCAACCGTCAAGAATCAGATGGCAGCATTTAAGGTCTCATTTTTCTTTATGAGTCCATTCAGTTAAAAAAAAAAAAATAGAAAATGGTTGCAGGAAAGATGTTTTCTTAATGAAAGCATATCTACTACACGCAGCATGCTCAAATTCATTTTGTTAATGCTTCTACCATTTGATAAAGGAAAGTAGTCCTGTTTAGCTGTCCAAATAGCTTGAGTTGTGGGTTAAATTTATTTATTTAACTCCTAATATTTATATTTGTTGGGATGACATAAGTATGTTCTAATGGTTATAGCGTTATGGCATATGGGGAGACTGGGACCATCCATATCTCACCCTGGATCCAGAATATGAAGCTGCTCAGGTAAAATTGTATCATCATTTAACATGTCATATTTGGATTTAGGCGAATTATGACTAGCATGGATGTATCTGTTTTTTGTTTTTTATGATATAATAATTAAGCTTCAGTTACCATTTTGGTTGATTAATATACACCTAACTTCATATATATCACACACACACACACATACTGTTCTTTAATTTTTTTCTTTTTATTTTTGGTTATGTGGTCTTATAACTTTCACTATATGGTTCATGTGAACTATAACAGATTGAAGTGTTTGGGAAAATGGCCTTGCAAGGGTATATCTACAGAGGCAGGAAGCCGGTTCATTGGAGCCCATCATCTCGAACTGCCCTTGCTGAGGCTGAATTGGAGGTAATGGATCTTTCTAAGCCTTTTATAGGAGAATAACTTGAGAAGTTCGTTTGGAGAAATTCGAATAATAATTGGGGGATATCAGTTAATTCGAATAATAACTTGAGAAGTTCGTTTGGAGTAATTCGAATAACCATTCTGTACTATCAAGCCCGGGTCGTATCAGTTAATGATATGCAAACACAATGGTGATAGCTGATGTGATTTTCTTTTTCTAAATTTATAATTGAATGTGTTAGAAAATGAGTGGCGAATGTTGTGGTTTTTTTCTTGAAAGAAAAGTTCTCACAAACAATCTCTCCGGGACCGTAAATATTAATGAAAAAGTAATCACTGCCATAGTTTCTAATTGGTTTCTACTGTTATCTTCAGTATCCTGAGGGTCATGTTTCAAAGAGCATGTATGCCGTTTTTAAATTAATCAGTGCCCCTACTTCATCTAAAATGCTGGATGAATTCATTCCCAATTTGGGATTGGCTGTTTGGACGACAACTCCATGGACTATTCCTGCTAATGCTGGTAATATTTTCATCATTTGTTATTAATTATTATTATTATTATTTTCTTTCATCCTCTCTTTATTCTGCTTCCTCCTTTGAAAACACTGCATCTTAATATGACACTATAAGGTAAAACTTTTGTTTTGGTTTTCCTTCCTTTGCCCCTTTTCTTTAGAAATCGTCCTTCTTTTTGTTCTTCATTTTTTGTTAGCTTACTGTATACTTTTAAAATTTTTGTATATTCAGCTGTTGCTGTCAATGCAAAGCTCCAATACGCTGTTGTTGAAATTGATGCTAGTGACGTGGGCACCACTTCATCATCAGCCAGTAAAGAGAAAAGAATTGGGAATATCTTGAAGGAACACAAGAAATTGTACTTAGTTGTTGCATTGGACCTTGTGCCAACTGTAGAAGAAAAATGGGGTGTTAAGCTTACTGTGAAGACAACACTTACAGGCGCACAACTCGAAAATTGCAGGTTCTGTATGATTATATGCTTGAAACTACACCAAGTCTAGCTGTTAGTAGCTTTGAAATACCATTATAACAACATCAGAGTATGTTGAATTACCGGCATCTTTGCAATTGGTGGAACACCCTTCTTATGACTGATTATCATATCTTTGAACCAATCTTTGTAAATGTTTGATTACAGAAAGTTTTTTAGTGTCATTTTATTTACTTATTACTAAATGATAGCCTTTCTTATTTCGAGTATTCCCCTTGTTATCTCCCGATTTTGCAAAAATGAAGCCTAGTTCAGGTATTTGTGAGGAAATACTATCTCAGCGGGGACATTTGAGATTGTGATATAGCATAATTTTTGTGATTAAGCTGAACATTAGGGGTAATTTTATAATTTACCCTTTTCTATGAACATGTACTCCACGCACTCCCAGAACTTCTCCACCTGCATGATCCCAACTCTACCCACGTACCATTATCGGGTGCTGTCATCTGGAATTTGTTAAATATAATTACATTTATTTATTTTGTATTTTTTTTATTTCCTTATTTTTTTGCAATTTCAGGTATGTTCATCCCATAGAAAGCCGAGAATGCCCAGTCGTTATCGGTGGGGATTACATCACGACAGAATCAGGAACTGGACTAGTTCATACTGCCCCTGGCCATGGTCATGAAGATTACATCACTGGCCTCAAATATGATTTGCCTGTTTTATCTCCTGTTGACGATGAAGGTGTTTTCACTGAAGAGGCTGGTCAATTCAGTGGTTTGAACGTGCTTGGCGATGGCAATATTGCTGTTATCGAGTGCCTGGACAAGAACTCATCAATGATCATGGTTGAGCCATACAGTAAGTTGAACTTTGGACTTTTTTTAATTAGAATTGCCATTTTCGTAATATCCTCATATTATCAGCAGGAACAAAATTTTTTACGTATGCGCTGTACACCTTTTAATGGCAAATACAGAACACAAGTATCCGTATGATTGGCGAACAAAGAAGCCAACGATTTTCAGGGCAACTGAACAATGGTTTGCTTCAGTGGAAGGATTTCGTAATGCTGCTATGGATTCAATTGATCACGTAAACTGGATTCCCCCACAGGTAAATGAGCTAGTCTCTGTAGTTTTCATGCGGCCATGAAGGACTAATAAAAAAAATTACCCCTGATATTATATCATAATTTTGAAAAAATTAAATAAATAAACCTAGTTAAGTGTTACAAACAACTTCAAAATACTTACTATTCTGCATAAGAAACTCCTTAAGGTGCATTTTGTGAAATAGAAACAATGTGAAGTAGGAATTTCGTAATTAAGCTAAACCGAGGGGTAGGTTTTGTAATCACCCCTTGATCCTCTTACTGTATGCCTTACCAAGCTTATCTGTGGCTAAATGATTTTATGATTTTAATAGGCACGAAATCGAATTTCATCCATGACATCAAGTCGTTCTGATTGGTGTATTTCCCGGCAAAGGACTTGGGGTGTGCCTATCCCGGTGTTTTATCATGTGGAGACAAAGGAGCCATTGATGAACGAGGAAACTATTGATCATATTAAGTGTAAGTTCATTTAACCTTTCCACTGTTGCATCATTGTATGTTCTTTTTGTTTATGAACTCTAATGTGATTTTGTGCAGTTACACTCCATATCGGATTCCTAATCACTCTTAAACTCGTTATGTATGTACATTTATTGGGATCTTGTTGATAAGGAAGAATTCCAAGTAACATGGTACAGTTTGATCTTTGAACTCATGGTACAGTTTGATCTTTGAACTCAATATTTGCTTCGACAGCAATAATTTCACAGAAAGGAAGTGACGCGTGGTGGTACATGAAGGTAGAGGATTTGCTTCCAGAAAGATATCGCAAAGAAGCATCTAGCTATGTAAAAGGAACCGATACTATGGATGTTTGGTTTGACTCAGGTAGACAATCTTAGCATTTAATGTAATGTATTTATTTTTTGAAGTATATATGGCTTGTAAAGCTTCATAATTAATAAAAGCACACATTTTCTCCGGTTGCACAATAAATAATTAAATATAATGTTCTTGGTTTTGCTAATTATTACTTCATGTTGTACTGTCATGCAAACAATGATAACAATCACCGATAATATTAATATTATTTCCATTTTTGTTATTTTAGGTTCTTCGTGGGCTGCTGTGCTGGCAAAGAGAAATGATCTTAGTTACCCTGCAGATCTCTACCTTGAGGGTACTGACCAGCATCGTGGCTGGTTCCAAAGTTCATTGTTGACAAGTATTGCTACAAATGGTAAGACATGAAATGATAGTCCTGAAGATGATAGTTTAGTGCAACTGTACTACAGTTTCTGTTAGTCGCTTTTCCCAGTCCCCAAACGCATCTTATTTTTGTGCTTAGGGGTGGCAAATAGCGCTATCATATCGTGTTCACGTTTTACTATCATGTGTTTGTGTTATCTATTATATTTGATCACAAATAGGATAGTGACTTTAATTTAACTAAATTTTTTCATTCGAGTTTCGCATTGTGCCCTCGTGTCTCATAGTGTCATTTGTCCCTATTATCGTGTCGTGTTCATGTTTCGTTTAGTGTCGGTCATTGTTACTCCTACTTGTGCTATTATATTTTGTGCATTTTTGTTTGTCCCATTAAGTTACAAACTTAGATTGAAAATTTAGCTAGACGCCCTCGATATTTGATGCCACAGAATGTGATTTCTTTTGTCAAGAATTTGATGTCACGAACTATTGTGCTGCTCTTTATGATAGTGCGACCGACTAATTACAAGGTCACTCGACTATACCCTGAGACATAAGTTCATGGTGTTTTTAATATTTTATGACTAGGGGACAGTTTCATAATTTCCAATTGGAAAAAAGGTTCTCTACTATTTTCATACTAATATTCCAGGAAAGGCTCCATATTGTGGTGTCATTACGCATGGATTTGTACTTGACGAGAAGGGCTTCAAAATGAGCAAATCTCTTGGAAATGTTGTTGACCCAAGAACTGTGATCGAGGGAGGGAAAGATCAGAAGGTATATTATTCTTAAGGTTTTCTCTAATTACGGAACATCTGAACTATGTTTCAAAATTCAGAATTCTCCATCTATACCATTTTCTTATTTACAAATACATCCTGAATAGCGTAATATTTGTTAAGCAAATGCAAAGCTCGAGTGACGTTTGTCATATTGTAAGAGGGTATTTGTAGTTTTTGATGGATGATTTGGCTTTTTTTTTGTTAGGTCAAACCTCAGTGGTAGAATTTCTACTGCCTGTATATTTTTTCTAAAATGCTGAAAACATTTCTGTTGGTCTTCCGCAGGACGGATTTGGTGCAGATGTACTTCGCCTCTGGGTTTCCAGTGTAGATTATACGAGTGATGTGATGATTGGGCCTAGCGTTCTTCGTCAAATGTCAGACATATACAGGAAACTAAGAGGAACTTTGCGTTTTCTTTTGGGGAACCTGCATGATTGGAAAGTAAGAGTTTTCTTTATTCCAATATTTAGGTTTTTGATGGGTCAACTCTTAGTAGCCTATCAATATAGCCTTTTTCCTGTATTTCTGCTATCAACTTCTTTTAGATTTTTCTTACATTATTTGTTCTTTTTTTCAGGCTGATTATGCTGTTACTTACACTGACCTGCCAAAGATAGATCAATATGCTTTATTTCAACTTGAAAGTGTGGTGAAAAACATCAAAGAGAGCTATGACGATTATCAATTCTTCAGGATTTTTCAGGTATATTGGGAAATGAAATTGATGTTATGACCCGTCAGTGTTTCATGAGATATTAGAGAAATAAAGCTAATTTTTCATATATATAGACTAGGCAAATGATACAAGAAATACGAAAGTTTATCAGCTATTTTCATCTTTGCAGATCATTCAGCGATTTGTCGTTGTTGATCTCTCAAATTTTTACTTGGACGTTGCTAAAGATCGACTTTATGTAGGGTAAGCACTTGATTGGCTCATCAACTGTGCATATAATTTTTCATTTTGAGCTTCCATTTTGTTGTCCATAAAGTATATCAAATTTTCTCTCATCATAGTTCCATCATCATTTTCTTCAGTCATGATTGATGTAAAAATTTTCAATATAACCCATCAACAATATTTTCGTACACATTCATGGCGCTCTTCATAATAATATATAATCTAACAAATTTGTTTTACCTCACAAATAAACTATTCAGTACTCGTCATAAAACTAGATTTCTTGACCGGTGTCAATAGTTGCTGAAATTACACTTCCACATTAGTTTGAGCATAAAAAGAAATCCGAGTTGCACTTTAATGACAACATCAAGGACTCACTTTATATTGGAAATTTTTATTTTCTTACTTGTTTTTGCTGCCAGAGGAACCACTAGTTCTACAAGGAGAAGTTGCCAAACAGTCCTTGCTGCACATTTGATCTCTATTGCGAGGATTATTGCACCAATTTTGCCACATTTGGCTGAGGATGTGTGGCAGAATCTTCCTTTTACATTCACTGCTGAAGATGGATGTTTGGCCAACTTTGTCTTCGAATCAAGATGGCCTTTGTTAAATGAAAGACATCTAGCATTCCCAGAGGAAGAGGTTAATTTTTGGGCTACAATTCTCGAGGTAATTAATTTGATGTATATTTTTTAGGTGGTATATAAAAGTAGCTGCTCCATGCTAAAATTTTATTTTCTTAACCGGAAAGTGTAATCATTGTGTACTTATGATCTACAATATGAACTTCTGCTTTCAATTCATCCAGATCTCTGATAATGATTCTACCTTTTAGGTTTTAAGCTAATATCTGGTTTACTTTGCTGACTATGTATTTCAGTGCCAAATAGGTTTACCGAATTGCATTATGTATGTGGTAGCTTATGCAAAATTACAATGGAGGAATGACTCATACTCCCTTTGAGGTTTAGCATAATTTATGTAAACCCCAATCATAGTTCAAAATCATAAAATATCCTCTCGAGTCTTTGCCTATGTTTCAAACTACAGCTACGAAAGGTTATATGCCTCAGCTAAATAGTACTCCCTCCTATTCTTTTTATTTGTCATTTTGGCTTTATTGATCATTGACCAAATAAATGTCGTTTTGGATCTTTTATACATATTTGTCCATTATTACCCTCATTTAATTAATACAGTACATGTTTTGGGAGGAAAGTTGTGGAAGACGAGGAGTTTTCTCTCTTAAAAAAAATAAAATAAAAATAATAATAACTGAAAAGAAAGAAATTAATTAATGTTAATTTGCTTTAAATAAGGCTAATATTGGAAAGAACAAAATTTCTTGATTTATGTGTTAAAGCACATAACAATATTTAAAAAAAATAAGAGGGAGTAACAATTATTAAATGTATCAAGGTTGTAACAATCAAGCTAGTTTTCTACTATTATTTATTTGTATTCGTTTTCGTTTTCGTTTTCCTGTTCATTTATTGTAGGCATCACATTTGAGTTCTGATTTAAACTACTTTGTTCAGCTGAGAACTGAGGTAAACAAAGTGCTTGAGATTGCACGTACGAAGAAGTTGATTGGTTCCAGTTTAGAAGCAAAGGTTTATCTCCATGCATCAGATGCTGGCCTGCTTTCGAGATTAGTCAACATGTGTGAAGCTGAAAATGATGCGGACACATTGTATAGAATCTTTTTAACATCTCAGGTAATCTAATTTCCTTCCTCTTTCAATTGTTACTCAATCTCCTACAGAATAAGGTTGTTTGGTTAATTTGTTGTGCTGAATTATGATAGTAGTTCCATCAATATAATATTTACTTTTGATGTTTCACCTAGTTACACGAACCCCCAATTATCTTTCATAATTGCAAAAAAGCCCGTCCTCAGGTATTAGTTACACACCACCCCTTGAAATTTGTCTTTCTTAAACAAATATTTCTTCATTGAGGATTGAATTTGCGAAAAGAAGCAAATATCAAGGGGATGTTTGTAAATTTCAAAGACACTACTTTTTATTTTTTTTATTATTTTGGTAATTAGACCCCTTACTGCAAATTGTTTCTCACTGCATGATGAGGAAGTCAATTATCAATTGCTCCCTTTTTTCTATTACAAATCATTCAATTTCGCTTCTTTCAGAAAAGAAATGAATTATAATGATAATTCATAATTATGAATAAAAAATAAATAGAAAGTAAAACCATTTCAATTGCTGGAAAATGCAGGTGGAAATTCTTGCTTCTTTGGAGAATGTGAGCGGAGATGAGATAGCCTGCACGGGAGAATATGTTATTGAAAATCGGGACAAAGTGTGGATTGGTGTTTCACGTGCAGATGGGTCGAAATGCGAAAGATGCTGGAATTTCTCACCTGAAGTCGGTAATTACCAAAAACACCCTACACTTTGTGGCCGTTGTCATGGTGTGGTTGTGAGCCAGCCAATCCCGGCTCTTGCTGCCGCAAGCTAGCTGAGATTCTTTTCAAAAGTTGTTTCATGTGGAAGAAGGTTATTATTTTCTAATCAGTCAGCAAAACTTCAATTGCTAAGAATATGTGCAAAAAATAGCTACCTAATGTGCCTATACTTGACAAAGCCAATTGCGGTGTTACTGAGGCAGAATGAACTTGTGCTGTTTGAGCATTAGAAATTTAGAGCATGATAGTTTTTCAGACCATATTTAAGGTCAAAATAATTTAAATTATTTTTCTTGATTGACATGTCACATGTGAATTAGTATATGAATCTCACTTTACAGTGATTTTGTGAAATACAATGATATTTGGATGGTTCTTTTGGTGGATTGCATTTTAGACACTAAGCGGTATAATAGAAGAGAAAGTAATTAAAAATATAGATTAAAATAAAAATCTTAACTTAATAAATGAGAAAAAAATAATTTTTAAAAATAAATCTAAATATTATTATATACTTATTTATATACAATCTTTGTAGTTTTTTTATCGTCAGAATTCTAATCATAACAAATCATTATAATTAAACCCCTTCGACTCGTTACTCTGATATTTGTATCTTTATAATATTCGACAAAATATTTTTTTTTATTATTGTATAACTGCAATAGAAAATAAAGATATTTGTAGTCATTCTTAATTAGTTATAAAATATGTATTTATATAATACCAAAAAATATATAGTATCAAAATAAAAACAAAAATAATTTGTATTTCACGATATACAAAAATGGGCACCATTCAAAATAAGACTTGTCAAAATAAATTGCGTAACTGACGGTTACATATTTTTATTAAATGAACACTTATTTTTATTAAATAAATTCATTTTTCTTTTATAAAAGTTTAACTGGGCTCAATTTTGTTGGGCTCAATTGTACAATACCCAAGCACCGGAGCTTTGCTTACGTCTAGGATAAATAACCAAATTGAGGTTCTAGGGTTTTAGTCGTCTTCCAGTGTCTGCAGGCTGCTCGCTCGTCTTCTCCAGCTGAACTTGCATTCGGGTAATGGATTTATGTGGAGTTTCATAGAGTTCAAAGGTTTCAATTCATATTATTTGCTATGACGGCATCGTGTTAATGTTCATGAACCCAAACATCTAGAAAAAAAAAAAAAGAACTTGAATGATATGTGTTATTAGGTTGAGTTAGATTCATTTGATGTCTTTGGAGATAAGATCGATTTATTCATATGACTGTTAGATCGATTTATTCATTTGATGACTTTGGAGATAATTTCAATTTCACAGTCAGTTCTTATATACTAGTAAATATTTGTTTATTTTGTTGATTGATAGTCCATTTAGCGGCCAAAGGCTCCTGCCAAGATGCAGAACGATGAGGGACAGAACATGGATCTTTACATTCCCCGCAAATGGTATGCCCAAAGTACACAGTTTCTGATATAATGCATCTCTAAAGGAAATGAATGACAGTACGACCTAAATGTTTGGTTTTGTCAAATTTTCTATAGATAATGTATCTGTTATGTATTCAATTTGTTTTCTGTGGGGCTTCTTAGTTTGGATCCATTTTAGCACGATGGCCTTTATTAAAAAGTGTATATGTAATTTATTGTTTTGATTTTGAGCTAAGATTTCAATATTGAAATTGTAGCTCGGCCACAAATCGGCTCATTACTTCCAAGGACCATGCATCAGTGCAGATTAACATAGGGCATTTGGATGAGAGAGGTGTCTATACAGGTGGTGCCACGACTTTTGCTCTTTGTGGTTTCATCCGTGCTCAGGTACCTTATTGTTTATTACTCTGCTTGAATTATGGTCATATTTCTATGTGAAATTGTTGTTTTTCATAAGTTGGATTCGAATATTTCTAATATTTTATTGCAACTGCTAGNTGATATAGTATTATAGTTAAGACACACAATATATGGACAGGCTTAATTTACTTTCCATTGTTATGTAGGGAATGTGTATCAGCTGAACTATTTCTAATGCAGTTCATTTATGTCTATATGGAGTCACATTAAAATGGATGACAGCGACCTGAAAATTTTTAAAGTTCAGTCTCCAGCTTTATACTATTACAATCTATACATAAATTTGATTGAATTTTATATTTGTATTCTCCATTCTTTAGCCTACTCATATGAATGCATCTGAAATATTTATGATATTTTGTGTGAATGAAAAAATTGTATTTTGCTATGTTCATCAGGGTGATGCTGACAGTGCCCTGGATCGCCTCTGGCAGAAGAAGAAAGTTGAGGCCAGGCAGTAGGATTTCACTACATTGTGGGTTTCAAGTTTCAACTATGATTTTGTCAGTATTTTGAAAGAATATTTAATTCAATGGGCTCTTATCATTCTAATTTCAGAAATATTTCACATCAATGACTGTCAATGTGGAAACAACCCAGTGTGATTTGCGTGCTTTTTTGAGTTTGATTGAAAGGATGCTGCCATTTTCAGTTATGTAGTTGCATTTGTTTGCCTTAGTTTTTATCCACAGTTATATCCAAAGCTGAGGGAGTTTTGGCTATATTTTGAAGTCATGTAGACAGACCCTAGCAGAGAGGAACTTGGTTAATTGGTACTTTAGATTTTGGAAGATACATGTGGTTTTATTAGATTGTTTGATTTTTGGTTATCCTTGTTCAGTTATTTGGATTTTTGTTTTTTCCNAAAAAAAAAAAAAAAACAAAAAGAAAGCAAGAATTTGATCTCTGTCTTGTGAAGAAGGTTGTTAGGTCATTAGTCTCCAGTTAACGGAGCATAGACTATGGAACTTGGATTTATCTTAATCACCAAATCCAGAACAAGAATGTGATAGTGTAGGTGTTTTTGCTATTGTGTATGTGTTATACTATTTGATAATAAATATGATAGTAAATTTAAACTTTGTTATTTTTTTTGTTTGTGTTTTTTGACGTGACATGTCGTGTCGTCTCTGGTTGCATTTGTTTGTTTTGTTTATGTTTTAAAATATGTATATTTGTGTATTGGTAAAAATGCTGTTTTGATACCCTAACTATCCCCTCTTTCACTTTTGATACCCTAACTATTCACTAAATCATTTTACATACCTACTAGTGTGTGGCTCGTGCGATGCACGGAGAAATAATATTAGATTGTATTGTAATTAAATATATAAATAACATTAATCATGATTTACCTATTGTTTTTAAGTTATACCGGATTGGACATAGTCCGACTGGATGGACCGAAAACCGGTTTATTACCAGTCTAGTTCGCTTGAATAAAATTTTTGCTATTGAATCCGTCAACACCAGTCGGTTGGACTGGTAGGATTGATACGATTTTCTAAATAAATTTTGTTACATTTAAAATTATTAATGGAGATTTATAAATTATTTATCAATTAGTTTAAGCATTTGAATTTATAAATTGTTTAGATACTTAAGTAACACCTTTTATTTAAATTTATTACAAAAATACTCTCTCTCGCTCTCTCTCGCTCTCTCTCTCTCTCTATATATATATATATATATATTAAAATTTGTATAAATTCAAAATTTGAACAAACCACAAATGATTTAATAAAATAACTTGATCGTTTCGATGACGGTTCGGTTCTGAAAACCTTATGTTTACTGTACATTAATAAACATTATAGTCAAATATTATTTTATTTACATAAATATTAAGAAAATGATATAAGTATTCATAAATGATTAAATATGTTGTCATAAAAGTATTGTTAATATGATTATTTGAAGTTTGGACTACATAACATTCACGTAATAAAGTATTTTCAATATTAAAATTTATATTTAGCTTCAATAATTGATTTGGTCTGGTCAAACTGATAAATAACTTAGTCACCTGAGACCAAGTTATGCCATGTTTTTTTGACTATTTTAAATATCACCTAAAAGTAATTCAATCAACCAGGGCAGTACCCTAATTCAATCACCCAATTGATGCAAAGAAATTTCCTTATTTTCTTTAAATATATTTAATTTTATGAAATAAAATATTGTATGATTCATATAGTAAATGTCTACACCAAATAATAGTATATTAAGATTAAAAATTATATATCCAAAGATGAATTAATTATTTGTATTTTATGCATAGTAATAAAAAATAAACTTAGTAATTTTCAAAAAATTAAGATTAATTGATTGGTTATGCAATTTAAAGAATATTTTTAGCTTTCAATATTTTTTTTGTAGGCACAAATATAAAGATCGAGGTTCTAAAACTGTTTTAAAAAAAACACAAATATAAAGACCGATATTCTAAAACTTTGGTTATATTTTGAATCGAGATTTCATAAATATAGAGACCGAGATTTTAATGTTGTTCGTTGTTTTTAAGAAAATAAATAAAATTGAAAACATGCACACTTAATAGATCTTAGTCGAATTTTTTAAATAATAAAATGAACTAAAGCTCAAAATTTAAAGTAGGATTTAATGTTGTATGAAATTTTAAAGAAAAAATAAGAAAAATAATAAAACTTACATTTGTGGGCTGCATTAAATTTTGACTTTTTTTTTGCTACTATTTTTTATAAATAGTTATTCTTATTATGTAGATATGTAGATATATAGATTGTTTGCTCTTGTTTCAGTTGACACGTGAATAAATCTCTTCATATAAGGGATTTTGTTTCTTTAAACAATTCAAAAAATAATATTATCTCGCAAACAGGATATTTTCCAAAATAATAAGCTCAGCCGTATTTTTTGGTTGTACAATGTAACAAACTCATACAGATTATATTTAATTAATGTTGTCCGTGAAATATTTAAAATAAAAAAAAATTACCAATAATGGAAAATAATTAATGATGAGAGAAGTTGACCATATAGTTGACCTGCCATTTTTTTAAATGATAATTCTTATTATATATGTATAGATGTTTGGTCCGCGCATCAGTTTTAGTACTTTCAGTTGGCCAACCGTCTTTTACTAACGGATCACTTGTTACAGCAAGTGAAAATGTGCGTAACTGGGGGAAAAATGTTGTTTGATACCCTAATTATCCTCTTTTCACTTTTGATACTCTATATATTCAATTAATCATTTTATATTATACTATCTTTGGTCTGTCTATCAATTTTGGTAGTTGGGTAGCTGGAATTCTTTATTTAATGCAACATTAAATCAAAATATTTTCCACAAGATATTAAAAAAAAAAAAACTTTACAAAAGTACATGTAACTACATTGCAATCATTTCAAAGTCACTAAACATTAAATCAAAATGTTTGCCATAGGACAAAAGAGAGTGGCTAATGTTTGAATGCTTTGCAATTTGGATCTATGTTTGTATTGTTATGTTGTTCTTAGTGAGTGGTGTATGTTGGGTTATATGAGGACCGTCGTTTATGTACACATTTAAATCTATTTAAGAGTAAACCTTAACGCAACAGAATCTATAGTTAAGATTATGACTTATAATTTAAAATTTTTGTCGACTCTTAGACGTTTTTTATTTTCGCTGTTGGAGATCGTCTGTCTGAACCTCAAAGTTTGTTGGGCTGTCGGACTAGGCCTCGTTATTGCGTCTTCGGTTGCTCGTCAGGCTCGTTAGATCGTGTCGGACCTTCGGTAGGTTAGAACCGCTCGGGACTCGCCGTGGGCTCCTGGATCGCTGCTGAACTGGCTGGACCGAATTTGGACCGAGCTGGACCGGATCTGCATGCAGACTGGGTCGGGTCTGGTCGCGTGTGGGCCGAGGCTACACGGGTACGGGCCGCGCTGGACACACTGCTCGCGGACTGGGGCGTCAGTGTCATTGGGGTCTGAGAATCCCGATTGTGGGCCTGCACCAGACGGATACGTGTTCGGCCACGCATTGCCCGAATGTTTACTCCAAATTTTTTTTGAGAATCTCGTGTGCCATGGCTATGGTGTTTCACGACTTTTCGAACAAAGTCCTACAGACGACTCCAAAATGGTACGTAAAAGACCTTTGACCGACTGAAAATCAGTCTGCTTTGAGTTCCTCGCCAGTTGAACACCGTTAGACCTGCAAAAACTCTCACACCGGAGGAGTTTTCCAGCGAAGAGTCTCTGATGCTTAAGTTAGCACTTGTAAAAGATGAAGTGCAGTATAAGTGTATAGAATAATGGAGAATGTAATGTGATGAGGGGCATACCTCTTTCTCTTTTATAGGGAGTTGATACTTTGTTGCCTAAGACTGCCCGAGTGTGCTGCCCGAGCTACCCGATATGCCCGAGCTGCCCAATTCTGCACGTGGCCCTATCCACGTGTGACTCTTATCCCTTTAAGATTCCTTCTTATCCCTTAGTCTTTCGTATTAAACTGCGTAATGGTGCGACCAACTCGAGGTCGATTGAGGTAGAATGCTGCATGTTCTGAGCCTAAGTGTTGTCCTTTCTGGTCGATCACACGACCAACCATACCTACAGGTCGAGTTTCCAGCAGACCATCCGTCGTTGTCCCTTTGAACTCCTTTTGCTCCTTTTGACTTGAAGACTTCTTGTCGACAATCGACCTCCCTGCTACTCTGCTTCAACCACCTGGTTCGTTCGACCTGATTGGTCGATTTATTAGAGTTGCTCCTCCAGGTATGGTATCTCACATCAGAATGAATGACTGCATTTTATTGATAATAAAGGCATACATTGTAAAAAATGATTAGATTCACTATCAATGCGCAATTACTTGAGAACAATAACAGCCAAAAGGATTACAACAACCAAAAAAAGAAAAAGAAAAATAAAACAAACCATTGCTAAATTCTTTCTCAATTTTCTCCATCCTTGATTGCATATCCTTCACCATTATTGCAACTTCTGCATTTTTGTTTGTTATATTTGTTCCTGTTGATTCAAATCCTGATGACAAACTTCATCTTCGTGGATTTGATTTGACTTCGCCCATTTCACTAAGGTAGGTTTAAGTCAATAAACAAAATCACATTTGTTGTACAAACAATTACAAAATAACTTGCCAACAATTTCTTTTGTAGGATCCACAACCCTAATTTGAGCAAACGTGTTGCAAGAACATTTGGGCTGTCTATACCTTAAATCCAGACTCTAATTCTTCGCCGTCTTTGATTTTTGAGAAGACATTTTCAACCTACATTTTTTCATTCAAAAAATATAAAGAACAATAATGTTAAAGCTGAAAAAAATTACCCAGAGAATTTGTTACTGAAAAAACAATGCGCACATCTTGCTGCAAAAAAAAAAATGTGTGTATGGTCCTTAAAAAAAATACGTATTTGTGTTTTTGCGCGAAAATCTAGAAATGTACATGTGTTTTGCGCCAAAATGTGGTGAAATTGTGGGGGAAAAATGCCCAAAGGTTGTTGGCATTTTAAAGGCCCACTGAAGGGTAAAACAATAATTTGACAGGCTCCTGCGGTGAACTAGGAAAAATAGTCATAGAGTTGGCGCGTCCAACACACTTCTGTCATCTTAAACGGCTTTGGGGGATTCGCGCATTCAAAAGTACAATACAAGGGAATTTGGCGCAATTTTAAATTACATGGAGAAAACACACATAATCGCGTAATACAAGGTGGTACTGTATATTTTACTGTATATTTTACCATATGTTAAATACCACATAATTTTGAAAAGACTTTTAAAAATCTCAAATGAACTTTTAAGAGTCTTAAAAAGTTTAAATTAAATATACAATGATTAAATGTTAAAAAGTCTTAAAAATCTTAAATGAATACAACCTCTAAAATAAACTGTAAGTAATAAAAGATAAGGAGAAGAAGAAAATAAAAAATGCTATAAGGGCGTGCTTGTTTACAAAATAATCCGCTCAAATAAGTTTTTTTTATTAACCAGTGTTAATTTTAAAAAATGTGGTATGTTTAGTTGTTAGTGAGATTTCGAGTTTATACTAAAATAATATTTAAAATAAAATAATTGAAGTTTATTTGATGTAAAAGTATGAGAAAGATATGCCAAGTGATAGTTAGTTAAAATTATGTCAGTGGATAAATAATAAATTAAAGTTGATGGGATGTGTAAGAATGATTTATCTTAGTTAGTTATATGGATAATATTAAGGATAGTAGTGTTGTGTTAAAATTAAGTTAGATTTTGAATATGGATTAAATGTGAGTGAAATATTTTTTAAACATGAAAGTGCAACATGAAATAGCACGACTAATAAAACCATCGTAATTATTCACAAATAATATATTAACATTCTCCATCTCATCCCCTCTATATATAATTACAGAATGTGTTGAGCCTATGTGGCAAACTTGCATGCTTCGGAATCCTATTTGGCAAAAAATCATGCTTTGGAGTTATGCTTGTATATAAATTAATATTTTTTTATCACACTAAATTCATGATTGATTTTTTCCTTCTTTACTTCTACAATTAGTTACCATAAACTACTTTAAAAATCGATAATTTTTGTATTTCTTACCGATTTTATATATATAATATATCAAATTAATCAGATTTTGATTATTTTCGATTCGACATCCATATTATATATATATAATACAAAATAGTAATATATATCATTATATATAAAATTTAAATTTATTTATCAAACTAAATTAAATTATATCAAATAAAACTATAAATTATATTATAAAGTAATAGAAATTGGTATGTATTCTTTTAAAAATGATATTTATTTCAAATCTAATTGGTATGTTGTCAATCTAATAAAAATAAATTATTATTTATCTAAATTCTAAAATTACATATAAAGTTAAAAAATTGTGAAGCACGACTGATACGACACTTGATGTATTAGGCATCTAATTAAGTAAAAAAATAATATATTTTGCTTAATATTAAATAAACATATTCTACACTTATGTATATACATATCACCATATTATTTCTATTTATTTAAGATATATATTTTTGTACTTATGTAATACTAAATAATATCGATATTTTTAAATGATATAAGTAAAAAAATTCAACACGGGTTGACATTTTCATTTGATGTACGAGTGTTTAATTATTATGATTAAAAAAATATAATTTGACAATTTAAGTAAAACTCAAAGTAATGTTTTATATAAAATTAAATTATTTTAGTTTTTAAAAAATTTAAAAATTTAATATTTTTTACAAAAACTTTCTAATTCAACATCCGTGTAATATACGAGAATTGTACTAGTATAATAATTCACAAGTGTCCATATATTAAATTATAAATTATGGATGCCTAGAGAACTCCATTCCAAATAATAATTCACAAGTGTCCATATATTAAAATTTAAATCATAAAATATGGATGGCTCGGAGGAAAATCCCAATATCATCATAAAAAGTTGGGATAAAATTTCGGAAAAAGCAATCACAGAAAGGGGTGGAGAATGTTACGCATCTGCAAAAGAGTTTTATTCTAAGAAGAAGAGGAAACAGAAACTCCATAGCCTAAAAAGCACAGAAAAAAAAGGAGCAGTCTTCTTCCTGTGCCCACATAATTCTTGACAAAATTAGCGGTATAGGTGAATCGCCAGACATTTTGTTTGACCTTCATCAGCCAGAACCTCATAAATAAAATTCCTCTATATTTAGCAAACACTTTCCTCACCATCGACTCCTTTGTCCCTCCTCTCTTTTCTCTCTCTCTCTACCGCTGGCATGAAATCTTAGTAGTTTTTACCTCTGTCACTTTGTAACTCAGTCTATCACAGTTTTGCGTTCGCTTGTTGTAGAACTCATTCCCTTTCTCAGTTTTTCTATCTGGGTCTTTTTGTTCAGCGTAAATAGTATTTTCGTGAATGAGAGATAGCTTTTCGAGGTGCGTAGTATTTGGCTGAGTTCTTGGTTACAAATCGACAAGGTGAGCTATGTTTGATTTCTAAAGATTATTCTGCTCCTTTTGCTGTTTTGAGTTATGGGATTGTGTCAGCTTCATCTTTGTTTGCTCTGTCTGTGTGTGTTTCGGGTTCTCCCTTTGATAGGCTTCTCCCTGTAATGGCCCCCGAGATTTGTAAATTTGCGTTTTGATTGATTTTACATTTGATGGAGGGATTGCGCTCTATGGAATAGAGGGAAAAGAAGAAGGAAAAAGAGCTATATAACTATGTTATTATCATTTGAGAATAGTTTGATTCTAATTTTTCAAGTTCTATATTGTCAAGTTACGAATCATTAGAATATTGATGAAATTTGATATAGTTGACCTTAATGTGAGTTTATTTAGTGTCTTTCATCTGGAAAAAAAAAGGCGTAGGGTTTATGGATACCCTTCAAATAAGTTTTGCCCATCTTCTGATTCATGGACACATACTTGAAAATATATGCATCTGTTGTTTTAAGAATTGTGTACAATGAATGCCCAGCTTCTTGAATGAAGTATTAAGATTGGAGTATGATGACCATGGTTTTATATCTTGTTCACAATCCACTGAGTCAATGATTAATTTGTGCTCCATTCTGTTATTTTTGCTATTTGACACTGACATAGACTTAATCCTCTCATAGGATACAAAATCTAGGGAAAAAAAAAAAAAGAAAATAGCAAGATATAATCATTGATCTCTTTTCATGCATCAATACTGATCTAGCCTTAAACTTAAGTACTTTCTGTCTCCTGTTGAAGGCCTGCACAATGCATGAACCTACAATGTGTCGGTAATCGTAAAGAGCATTTTAATACTCAAATCAAGTATCGAATAAATATATAATTACTCATTTCGCTCTTTCACTATTTTTTATTTTTTCTCCAAACAGCCATGATGTTGCAAGGAGAAACCATAAATGAACCTCAGGGGGAAATCAAAGTCAGCTTCGAATACCACTGCACCACCAAAAACGACGATTCTCTCGACCAAAGTCCTAACTACATCGACATCCCTTCTTCCCCCCACGAACTGATTCGGGCCAGCAGCTCCTTCTCATGCCTCTTGGGAGCCGCCTTAAGCGCCAACGCCACCTTAGCAAACACCAACATTTGCAACGGCTTAATCGGCTCCGAGATACTCCCAACTTTAGACTCCCCAAACTCCTTCCGCAAAATACCCTCCTCGACCAAATTGGACTTCTTTCTGTCTTCTTCCCTTCCCAGCAGCATGTCCAGTTTGAGCTTCAGTCCTTCATCCCTAAGCGATTACGACTCCATTTCACTTAAATCCATGAGCGACCCTTATAGAAACGATAGCTTTCTCAATCTGAATGAAGTCCAGATTGCAGGTGGGCCCGCGGGCGAAGATCGGGTTCAAGCCGTCTGCTCTGAAGAAAATGGATGGCTCTTTTGTTCTATATATGATGGGTTTAACGGTCGTGATGGGGCCGATTTTCTTGCTGGGACTCTTTACGAAACAGTTGCGTGTCACCTCAATTTATTCGATTTTCAAAATATGGATGGTTTTGTTAAGCAGGGAGTTCTAAGTAGACTTCAGCACGCGCTCGACCAGACGGAGAACGAGTTTCTTCACATGGTCGAGCAAGAAATGGACGAGAGGCCGGATTTGGTGTCTATAGGGTCTTGCGTTTTACTTGTTCTGTTGCATGGGAAGAATTTGTACGTGCTTAATCTTGGTGATAGTCGGGCTGTGCTGGCTACTTATGGTAGAGGGAGTGAAGAAATTGATGGTTGGGAGCTTAAGGCAGTTCAGTTGACCGATAATCATACGGTTGACTGTGAAGCTGAGAGAATACGGGTTTTGAATGAACATCTGGACGACCCCAGTGTGGTCGTGGGTGGGAAGGTTAAAGGGAAGCTGAAGGTTACTCGAGCATTCGGTGTCGGTTACCTGAAGAAGGTATAGCACTTTTTTTAATGGAGTTTTATCATTAATGAAACTTTATTTACATTCGTAAGACTAACCTTGAAAGGTTATTGATTTATGAGAAATGCACTGAGTTTTAGGCTATGTTTGGTAAAATTAGGTGATAAGCTAGCTGTTAGCTGATAAGCTAGCTGATAGCTTTTTTTGAGCTTATAGTTGAAAAGCTAGGTTATATGATAAAAGTGTTTAGTAAAATTAGCTGATAAGCTAGCTGAAAGAAAAATTTCAACGAGCTTATTTGAAAAGCTACTCAAAGATGCAAAGATGCTTATCAAAAAGCTCGAGTTTTTTTAAAAAAGCTCGTCTTAACAAATGCAGTTTATTTGAATACAGGGGGCTTATAAGCTAACCAAATAAGCTATAAGCTAGCTTATTCGTCTACCAAACATTATCCTTAATGTGGTTTGAATCTTAAGGGTTAAGTAGGAGACTATATTATTTCTAAAAATGTAAATGGGCTTTCATTTTTTTTTTTTTTAAATTATGAATATTAGAAGTTCAAGATGAAAATGGGAAGTTTTTATTTTTTGGATTTTTTACACTACATCAACCTCAAGAGTACTTTATGTAAATTGTAATTTTCACTTTCTTTTAAGTAACCAGAAACTAAGATGTTGTTTTCATGTTTTAATGTGATTAATTACAAAAACTCTCTCGAGGTTCATTGTAATTACAACAAAAATTGTACCATCTTTGAAATTACAAAATATGCTCTTGACATACGATTCTGTTTTCTTATGTATCACACTTTCAAGAAGGGTTTATTTGTTAAGCAAATACACAACTCAAAAGAGTGGTGTATAATGTATTCTCAACACTTTAGGATACGGGATACCTGAATTTTTTCTTAATTAGGCTATAGACCTGAGGATATTTCATGTAAGGTAACCCTACATGTCAATTATAGTCAACTTAATTATTGGATGTATCTCATAGTTATTCCTTTTGTTTATAGAAATGCATGAATGATGCTTTAATGGGTATTCTCCGAGTCCAAAACCTCATAAGCCCTCCGTATGTATCCACACAACCGTCCCTAAGAGCTCACGAGGTCTCAAACTTGGACCATTTTGTCGTGCTTGGTAGTGATGGCTTGTTCGACTTCTTTACCAATGATGAAGTTGTGAAGCTTGTGAATTCTTACATATTGCGAAACCCTTTTGGTGATCCGGCTAAGTTTTTGGTGGAGCAGCTTGCCGCAAGAGCTGCAGATTCTGCAGGTATTTGGCCATCTCTTTTCATTTTTTTTTTTTTGGTTAATTGCAAAGTTTACTCTTGGGTTTGCTGTACATACAGAAAAATCCTGGTTATTTAAAAGAAATTACAAATAGATCCTTGATATTTCTTTCTAAACTAATCGTAGGTTTTCCCATCCATGGGAAAATTGGATTAATGAGATTCTTGAACCAGTTCAGATAGTTCAATTCTTCTAATTTCTTATACTACTACTCTTATTAATTTTTTTGTCTGGTTGGTCCATTAAAGATTGAATTCTCATGTCATTAGGATTGTTCAGTAGGTAAGTGCAGCTCGAAAACAAATTCTACGATATGCAAAATCAAAAATATTGTGGGGGCTATATATGTGGTTTGCCATTGCCCTTAAAAGTTTTCAGGGTNAATAAATCATTTGATGAGTGATTGAGTATATTATTTTCTCATTCAGTTTCGACCTTCAACTCACACAATTTGCTGCTAAATGCTAATATTTGTTTCGTGGTGGAATTATCCAAAATAGTTAACAAAAATCTTAGTTTAATTTCAAAAGTTTGAATTATTCATCTTAAAATAATGATACTGAAGGTCATATACAAGTATGTTTGTTGAAAATTGTCTTTTGTTTTTTCTTTTTATTTTTTTTTCCACCTAAATTGTCATATTTTTCCAGGTTTTAGTATGGAGGAGCTGATGAGCATCCCTGCTGGCAGAAGGCGAAAATATCACGATGATGTTACTGTTATCGTAATTGTTTTGGGCTCGAACAAACGGACCTCAAAGGCATCGACATGCCTATAAATAACCAAGTCGAGCTCAAACACAGATTCATGTGCCCCCTTTTCCTTATTTTATTACTTGTTTTAGGAAGAGATAAATATGTGTTCATATTCCAAAATATCTTTGGAATGCGATGACGAATAAAAATGTTGCTTGATGATGAATTTGGTTGTGTCTTCTGGAATCTTTTTGCAGTAGATAATATAAAGGGTTGAATGGAAAATTGGTTCTTTGTTCCTCGTGAAGCCACCACAACTAAACCCAGGAAAAAGAACTTTTTTTCTTGATTTGTAGTCTAAAGAATCTCTTTTGTTCCTTTCTGATTATAAATGTTTTAGCATATGTCTGATCATGCATGATCTTCGTCTTATTGTTCGAGTCCTTTTCATCTTTACAGCTTCTAGGTCTGTCAAAATTTAATTTTTATTTTGGCTTAATTACAGGAAACATCACGACGTTTTTGTAAATTGTAGATTAAACGGAACTTTTTTAAGTTGACATATTAGTACATGATTTTTTTACAATTCTAGTCTCTGGGCTCAATTCTGTTGATGTGGATCCCGTACATGTACACGTGGATTTTTATCATAGTAATTAATTGCCNAAAAAAAAAAAACCACCGTTTTTGAATTTTGCAAATTTAATATAACTTTTTTAAGTTTGCATATAAGAACATGGAATTTCAAATTTTTGCAATTTGGTGCTTCATGGATAAATCTAGGATAATTGACCTTAAGTGTACTGAACATTTTTGACCAAATATATCAACTGAAAAATAGAAGAAACAAAAAAAGTGTGATGCTAGACACACTCAGAAAAGAACGTCGGCACGCACAATAAGATCGAATTTTCGGTATGTTTTGGGATTCTCTTGTAATTGTCGGTCAGTTTCAGTACCTTTTGGTGGTCTTGAAGGAGGTGAGTCAACTAAAATGAGGAGATGCAACTGTTGTCAGCTTACAATTATCTATTGGTAATTAGTCATCTAAAACTTTGTCGTATTTTGTCCTATTATGGATTTGCAATTTGAATATTTTTTCTTGTTATTTTCCTTTGAGCAATATATGTGTATTTGACATTGATGTGGAAAAAGGTAAACTAATTTAGTATGGATCTAGCCTTAATGTATCAAATTGCAAAAAATTGAATCTCATTCATGATATGCAAAATTAATTAAAAAAAGCTTGGTTAAAGAACACAAGCCCTAATTTTTCTCTCATTCCCTTCCCCAAATATTCCACCGTCCCTCGTCTGAATTCACGCCGATTTGTGCCTTCCTCAATGGCTGACCAGGTTTGTCGGCCACACATCCATGGCTCGGCGCCCTTCTCTTTCGTCTCAGGACGGGGGTGCGAGCAGACGTCTTTGGCAGATTTCTCCTAATTGTGCTTGAAGTCTGCCGGCGTTCCTGGGTGGTGGGGCTGGGTGGGGTGCAGACGGTCTTCTGACATGTCTTCCCAATTTTTTCAATTGTTGGTTGTATTATTCAGCTATGGGCTGTATCTTTGCACATTTGTGCGTTTTGATCTATAATATTCTCTATCGTTTCGAAAAAAAAAATTACAAATTCTGAAAAGATGGTGATTTTTAGAATTAATTCTTATGATGAAATTCCACGTGCACATATGTGGAGTCCACGTCGGCGCCAGGCCCGATTAAGATGTATGGAGTTGCAAAAAGTTTAAGATTTTTTTATATGTTTACTACAATTTTTAAAAAAATTTGCAATTATACGACATCCAAAGTAACACGATACATAAATAATTCATAAACGAGCCATAAACTAAAATATAATACAATATTGAAACCAATACAAAATAAATAGTAAATCAACCATTAATATACAATAAAAGTTAGTATATTTCACTACAAAAGAAAAAATGATATATTCCAATGGAAAATACTATGGTAATATATTCCAATGGAAATTCTAACGGATATTCCAATGGTATAGCTTCCGTTGAAATGTGTTTTTTATTGGAATTTTAGATGGAATTTGATGATTCCAACGGCTATATTTTCAACGGCTTTTTACCATTAGAATATGCAATTTCCGTTGGAATTCTTATTTCCACCCCCGTTGAAAAATCGACCATTGGAATCGCGAAAATCCAACAGAAATTCTAATGAAAACTCATTCCAATGAAATTTTTTTGTTGGAATTTCCATTGGAATCAATTGAAAAATTCCAACAGAAATAGTAGCATTGAAATATTCATTGGAATTGTCGTTGGAATAATTCTATTAAAATATATTTCCGTTGGAATTTCATCATTTTCTTGTAGTATTTGTAATTAAGAATATTTTGTGTAAATTTGCTAATAAAGTGGAACTTGGAGGTGAACGTTGTAAGTTTCCCAAAAATTAACGGGTCATTTATTAATATGCCAAAAAAAATAAAAAATAAAATTAAAAACTTATTTACAAAGTAAAAAAAAAATACATGGTCAATCTTCAATGTCTTACCGATATCATGGTATTTTTTTGGCATTTTTTCAAAAAGTTTTTGATGGTCAAAAGAGCCGTAAAAAATCGAGAAGGAAAGAGTAGAGAGAGAGAGTAGTGAAGGGCAAAAACGTCCAAAGAGAGCTTGACTAGTAATAAGAGGGACGGTGAATAGTAATGTCCTTTCTTTAAACTAGTGTGTATATGTGCGATGCGCGAAAAGGGAATATTGAAAATATTTTTATCATAGATACGATGTGAGAAACAAATACTAAAAATGGTTTTATATAAAAACAATCGTGTTGATATTAAAATTAATTTTATAAATTAAACATTGAGTAACTTGAAGTTCTTGTGATACCTCACACAATTGAAGAATTTATATATCAGAAACAAAAATTCGGTTCAGGTGCAATAATTGCTAATAAATATATTATTTTTTAAAATTTTTACCGTCATCACATCGGAGATATATTGATATTGATTTTAATATTTATATTGCATAATAATTAAAAATTATACTATTTAAGTTAAATAATTCAAACTTAAATGTTATTTAATGAAAGATTAATTAAACTTATTTTAATTAAATAATTCAAACCAAAAGACATATTGCAATTTATTAATAAAAAATTATATAAAAATGTACAATAGTATTAATCCGTTTATAACTCTTGGAAGTTGGTATAATGCGATAATTTTCATATATTATTTCAAACACTAAGAAATAATATGTTTAAACAAATTTAATTTAGTCTATTTTTTTAGTATAGTGTTTTTTTAGAAACAATATTTAATAATATTTTATTTATTAATTTGATTTGAGAATCCATAAATTGAAAAATCTATGTATGATTGGTCAAATATGTGTATTTTATATAATTATTAGTATTTTTTTATTCGTTAATTTATCACACATATATTTTTTTGACCTATTTGATTTTTAGATGAATTCGACTTTGCTATATTTTTGGTTTATTTTCAGTTTTTGGAGTAGTTATATGGATGACTATACATTGAAATCAACTCCAAAAGTCTACTTTCGAATTAATCATCCACACCTTTGTTCAATATATATAAAGTGAATTTTGCCAACCACTTGTCATGACAATAATTGTTATATTAAGAGGTTAAAAGGAGAAAAAGAAAATAACTACCAAAGACAAATTAAAATGTGTGGTTTAGGTTTTGGAATATAGTATGGCACATTAGTATGATGTGATGTTAATATTCTGCATTAAGTAGTGAGGATGTGTTATTCCAAGGCCAACAACCACCTACATATAAAAAGTTTTAATTCACTTTCAATGGACTTGTTATAATCACACACCATATTCTTATGCGATTCCCAAACAGAGTAGAAATTAATAAATAAATCTATATAAAACTAGAAGTATTGCCTATAATCTAATTAAGAAAATATAAAATTTAGAATCTCAATTNTTGCTCATTATCTCAATTTGAACTATATCGAAATCCATTTAATTTTCTTATATATAGTCCAAAGTCTATTTGTACTATATGCAAAAATGTGTATTACAAGATATATATCAAATCACTACAAGTATTCAAGAAAATTAGTGTGCCATCTTAATTAACATTATATATCATCACCACATAACTAAAAGCTCAATCAAAAACCATTCATTCAACCTCAACTAGAAATTAAAAACACCACACATACTTAAACTAACCCACCACAACAAAAAATTTTCTGAACCCCCTAAAACCCCTCATGATGTACACTGTTCCCCAAAATGACCAAATTACCCCCACATCACATGATGCAACATCCATTAGGGTTCTCGTCACTCAAAATCCGAAACGAATCCAACGGCTCACCTTCCGCCTCATCATCGTCCGGCTGCTCGTAGGTCGCACACGCGTACGGCGATGGAGGCGTGTAGTAGTAATCGGAAGCATCGCTTACGGTGGGGTGCACCGCACTATAACTCACCACATAAGCATTTTGAGAGGTATAATGGTACATATTCTGTGGAGGGCTTGGATCAATCACGTCAATAGTTTGGGTGAACCCCACCTTGGGCATATCAAATACGGTGCTCGCTGGTGCACCATTAGGCTGTGGACCCGCATTGCTACTACTTGTGTTTTTCTTCCCTTTTCGCCCTTTCTTTTTCTTCTTTTTACCGCCCTGCCCTCCACAGCTGGCGCTGACCGTTTGCTCTGATGCCGGAAATTTATCAGCTAGCGGCGGTCTCTTGTCTATGGCGGCAGGGTCAATGCCTATGAATTTGACCGTTGACCCGCAGTTGACTCCTGGGAAGCTGACTTTGACTTGAGGAGGGTTGTTCTCGGGTGGATTATTATTATTATTATTATTATTATTGTTGTTGTTGTTGTTATTACTTTCCTCATCTTCTTCCTCGCTGTTTTCGCAATCGTTTTCTTTGTTATTTTTTCCGGGCTTTTTTTCTTGACAGCTGGCGGGTTTTTCCGGCCATAGCTCGGCATGCTTTCCTGTTTTTACAAGCTTCTTGATTAGGGTTTGTGGGTCGATGTTGCCTATGACGATAACCTTTTGCTGCTGGGAATCAATATCAGTGGTGTAAACACCTTAAAGGAAAAAAAAAATGGGAATGAGAAAAAAATTAGTTAAAGATTTGTATATAGACAAGAACACTATATTACAACAGTAGTATCACTAATTAGTCATGCATATACAAAAAAGAAAAGAAAAAAAAATGTATTATTTGAATTTGGGAATTACAATACCCTCAACACTGTGTAATACTTTCTTCACTTTTCTTTTGCAGCCTTTACAGTGGATGGAAACTCTCAGAATCCATGTCTGAAAGAAAAGAAAAAGAGTTAGTAATATTGATAATATTAACCAAATCTACTATTTACTTTTTTCTTTAATCGTATATATATATATATATTAGATAAAAGTTGCTTGATGAAGAAAATCCCCATACCTGGTACTGAAGTTGGGGTATTTGTTGTGGTTCTTGATCAGCTTGTGGTGAGGCCATGAGTTTTTGGAGTTTGGTGCACAAGAAAGTGATTTGAGGAGTGGTGAATTAATGAAGGAAAATGTATACCTAGCTAATAATGGATGCCAATTTTAGTGTAGGCTAACTAGAAAATGACATTAGATGTCCCTCTCCTAGACCTTGGTAAGTGACCATTAATTAGGTATTTTTGTAAATTTCATTGGAGTTCAAACTATTCAAAGTTATTTTATGTGTATGAAAATCTAATTGGGTAGTGATTTAAGCAAGATTTCGGGATAAATTAATAGTTTTATTTTATTTTTGTTCCTGGTACCGCGGATACACCAGAGGGAACGAGATTCAAGATTTTTTTTTTTTTTGCCTTTTCATTTTCATGTTTCATTTTACTGTTAAATGACACAGTATCATTATGTTCTATTTGTACACATGTCACTCGTTATATGGAATAAAAGAAAAAAATTCAAAATTAGTTCCACAGTTTGAGGGTGCCATTTTTGGTCCCGCAAGAAAGCGATTATCACAAATAGTCCTACAACTTTCAAAAAATAATAAAAAAATAGGACTTTTGATGCGATTTCGGGCGCATATGTGGCGTTTTTCTTGACATGCTGATAGCCTTTATCGCATGTGGCATAGCAGAAAACCTGTGAGACTAGTTTTGAAATTTTTTCTATTTTTTATATTATTAAGTAAATCTAAGACAATAACATTATGAATATATATAATTATTTATATTAACTATTTATAAACATTTTAATTATGAATAGGGATACAATATTCATTAAAATAAAATTAGAAAATATTTTTAATTACTTTTATTTTGTAATATATTATATAAAATAGGCATTCTTTTAGCTTCTTTTTAATATTAAATTATTATAAAATTACAAAAAAATATTTTTATTCATCAAATAATTATAGTTAACATCTTTTATTCATGACATAATTTATTTTATTATTTTATTATTATTTAATGAAAAATATAGTAAAAAAGTGTTAACTATAATTACGTTATGAATAAACTATTTTTGTAATTTTATAATAATTTAATTTTAAAGTTAATTTATTTTTAATAATCACTATATATTTTATTAAATAACTATAAAATTACAAATAAAAATAAATATTTCATGAAAAAAAATGTTAGCTATAATTATGTCATGAATAAAACTATTTTTATAATTTTATAAATTATACCATATATGTCTTTTTCATTTAGTCGGAAATTGATTTTACAGTATAGACGCTTATGACCTCCCCCTCAGATTGGATGACCATCCATCTAACAGGCCACTTAGTAAGTTGAATAAAACGGTTTTTGTAATTTGATAATTTAATTTTATAGTAATTTTTTTATAAATATTTTTTATTAAATAGTTATAAAATTACATAAATAATTACCATATTTTTTATTAAATAATTATAAAATTACTAAAAAAAATATGTCATGAATAAAAAATATTAACTATAATTATAAAATTACCAAAAAAATATGTCATGAATAAAACTACTTTTACAATTTTATAACAATTTAATATTATAGTTAACATTTTTACTATACTTTTATTAAATAACAAAAAATTACCAAAAAAATGTTATATTTCAAATGTGAATATTCAATAATAAATCAATTCAAAAACTGGGCAATGCTTGAAAAGTTAATCAAATATTCATTTTTGTAAGTAAGTTGCTTATTAAAAAGAATAAAATATAGATAACAAATTCATATAATATGAGGTTTCTAAAATTATTTGTGGTCATCCAAAATGGAAATAGCAAACCAAAAAAGAAAAAATAATTAAATTGTTTATTTACTTGTACATATGTAAATATCTTATTCTTGAGTGAACTGTGCACAAAAGTCACGAGTCGAGAATATCAGCACCCGTAACTCCGGATAGTGTTAAAAATAATAATGTTATGAACACTTTTTTGAAGCATTGTACAATTGTTGAAATGTATTATCGAATATTCACATTTCTAAATTTTTGTTTGTAATTTTATAATTATTTAATTAAAAGTATAGTAAAACGTGTTAACTACAATTATTTCACGAATAAAACTATTTTTTTTGTAATTTTATAATAATTTAATATTATAAAAAAGCTAAAAGAATACCTATTAAAAATAACACATCACAAAATAAAAGCAATTACAAATATTTTCTAAATTTATTTTAATGTATAATCTATCCTTATTCATAATTAAAATTGTTTATAATTAATTATAATAAATGATTATATATATTCATGATCTTGTCTTAGATTTACTTAATAAAATATTTATATTAATTAATATATGTATAATAATTTATATAACAAAAGGAGAGCATAACAATATAACAAATAGAAAAAATTTCAAAACTAGTCCCACAGGTTGCCATGTGATAAAGGCTGCCAGCATGTCAAGAAAAACGCCACATATGTGCCACATGGCTTATCGGGTCTTTCATGTCCGCATCAAAAGTCCTATTTTTGATTACTTTTTGAAAACTGTGGGACTATTACTGGACAAAAAATGGCACTCCCATCAACCTATGGGATTAGTTTTGAATTTCTCATTAAAATAAAACATAAAAATAGAAGATCTTAGTAACAATTTTAGTGTTTATTGAATTTTCGGTACTTGACTGACTCTTCCAACAAGTTAGCAAAAGTTCTACTTCCATCTAATGCTACAATTACGGAAAGAAGGAAGACAAAATTTCTAGAAATAAAAAAGAATCGAATGATTTCTCACCTCAAGCCAAAGTTGCTCTTGGTTACGTAAATCAAATGAATAAAATGTTTGTAGAATTTGATTACAAAGGAATCAATTCTTTCTAAACAGGGATTCCATCCCAACAGCACTGCCCAAATGTTGATGGAGTTTGAACTTTGATTTTCCACAAACATCTATTAATAATTTAATACATGTACTATTACACTGAAAAAGGTAAAAATCCAGCAACTGATTCGTACTTCTTTCGTGTTTGGTAAGGAAAAGATTGAAGTTATTACATAAAAACTAGTAATAATTAGCATCGAGGTTCTCTATTTATCATAAGTTCCGTTTCATTTTCTCTCAGTTCTGTATCAAGTACATGGAGCGATTAGCGATATACGATGTACAAAATGGTGCATGTATTCAACTTCAAGGATATTTATGTATTACATAACATTACTACCTTATATAAAATCTATATATATATATATATATATATGGTTTGGTTCCAATGCATCCACTTATTTAAAGTGAAGACGTGAGACTCATTTTTAGCCACAACATTTGGTACATCATGTGTGACCAAGATTTATTCTTTTCTTTTTATTATTTTAATTATTTAAATATTATTTTGACCCGTTGACTCTGGCGTTGACCGTTGACTTCCGGCGAAATCCGTTGACTTTCGGCGTTGACCGTTGACTCTGGCGTTGCCCGTTGACAACTAACCTTCCAACTAGGTTAGTTCTCTGTAGTTGCTAGGTTAGTTCTATGTAGTTGCTAGGTTAGTTGTTTGTAGTTGCTAGGTTAGTTCTCTGTAGTTGCTAGATTAGTTGTTGCTAGGTTAGTTCTCTCTAGTTGCTAGGTTAGTTCTCTATAGTTGCTAGGTTTTTTTTTTCTTTTTTTTTTTTAACAAACAACGCCCCGGAAGGGCGGGGGATTGGGCAGGATCCCCAACCTGTACATAGATCAAGACCCGGAAACTGGGGCCCAAAGAGTCAACATAGTCTCACAATCCAAACAGAAACGAAAACAGAAAATGAAAATAGAACAAGGTCTGTCATCGGGCTAACAGGTGCCCGGAATAAATGGATGGTCTAAGAAAACCAAAACCAGAAACCTAATCTACTGGAATCGAAAAGATGGATATCCCAGCTGATCCATCCGACTCTATAGTTGCTAGGTTAGTTCTATTTAGTTGATAGGTCAGTTCTCTGTAGTTGCTAGGTTAGTTGTCTGTAGTTGCTAGGTTAGTTCTCTGTAGTTGCTAAGTTAGTAGTTGCTAGTTTTTTTTTTTTTCTTAAACAACACCCCGGAAGGGCGGGGGATTGGGCTGGATCCCCAACCTGTGCATAGATCAAGGCCCCAAAACGGGGGCCCAAAATATCAACAGTCTACAGTCTACAGAGTCTCACAAGCAAAACAAAAAAAGAAAAGAAATAAAGGTACAAAGTCTGTCTTCGGGCTAACAGGTGCCCGACAATAAAAGTCTAATCGAATGAAAGTAATAAACCTAATCTACTGAAATCGGAACGATGGATATCCAAGCTGGTCCATCCGTACAAGCGTGCGAAGGCGGAGTGAAGAAGTGTCGGTCTGAAACGTATGTGGGTCTAGTATGGTGGCGCCAAGGCTGACAAGGTAGTCAGCAGGTCGGTTCCCCTCACGGAAAATGTGCGTGATTCTGTGATGGACAGACCGAAATAGAGCTCTAATGCGCATAAGCGGGTGCTGAATCTGCCACGAGCCATGGTGGCCCGAAGTCAGGAGGGTGGCGACAGCCGCAGCGTCCAGCTCGATCCAAATATGACTAGAAAGGTGGACAACAATCTGAAGGCCAATCTGTAATGCCTGAATTTCTGCGTCGTAGCTCAAGGAGGCCTGGAGGGGCGCGTGGAAGGCAGTGATGAGGGTGCCGCTGTGGTCCCGGATCAACCCTCCTCTTCCGGTAGCTCCGGTGTGGCGATCAAAAGAGCCATTAGTGTTCAGCTTGACCCAAGGAGAGTCGGGTCGAAGCCAAACAACAGCTCTGGGTCGAGGGGGCCGAACAGGCGGTAGGAAGCCACCATGTAGCGGTGTGGTGGCGTGTAGCCTGTCCAGTCTCGGGCCGTGAGCCTACCCAATGCTATGAGAAGTGAAAGTTGTCTCTCTACCTGCAAAACAATGTGAGAAAACAAAAAAGTAATATCCTTGTGCTTCACACTATTCCTCTCCGTCCAGGTGAACCAAAGGATCAGACAAGGAATGAGGAAGCCCACGTGTCTAAGGTGTGTGCTCTGTGAGAAAAAACTCAGAAGCTCAAAGAAATTGCCTGTGGTGGGTAGGGATATATGGGTCCAAGTGGCAAAGTGCTCCCAC